AAAATTTATAGTTTTTCTTATTATTTTTTAATCAAAAAATATTAGTTTAATTTTTTTTTACATATTTATTTTTTTTATTTTTAGCAGTATTATAAGAATTCTAAAATAGGATTTAGTTTTTTATATATTTAATTGAAAACTTGATAGTTTAGTTTTGAACTTTAATAAAATATTTAACTTGATTAAAATACATTCTGATATTGAATATTTAAAACTAGTTAATATTTAATAATAAAATATTTTAAATCAATTCAATTAATTGTAAATTTACAATAAATTTTATTTTTTATAAGATTAAAAAAATAGAATTTATAATTCCAAGAAATATTTTTTGTTATTTATTAGTAGTTACTATTAAAATATTTAATAATTTAGTAGATTTAAACTTTAATTTTATAGTTAATATAATTAAAATTATATATACAATAGCTTTTAAATTATAAAATATACTTTAATTAAATTTAGTTTATATTTCATATATATCTAATAGCAATGAATTATTATTGTTATTAATTATTATTAATATAAATTTGAGCTATATTGATTAAAGGTATATTAGCATCTGAATTTCATAAATTTTTGAATCTTTTTAAATTGACTTTTTTTGACTTTTTCTTTTATTGTTTATTAATAATAAAATAATATAAAAAAAATTAAAATTTAATTGTTTAAATAGACTCTTTAATTATTTTTAAAATCTTTTATAATAAGATATGATTAATTTAAATTAAACATTTGATATTATTTTAAAGGTCAAAATAATATTTTGTTTTATTATTATTTTTTTTTTTTGATTCTGATTTTAAAACAATTATTTTAATGATTATATATATTTTATTTTCAACTTCAGTATCTGTTTTAGCTAGATTTACTTTTTTTTACTATGAACTATTATTTATTTAACTAATAAGTAGATTAATATTAATTTTGAAATAATGCTTTAATTTTAATTTGAGAATAACAATTTTGAGTTCACAATTTTAACATTTAAGCCTTTTATTTTGCTAAAAGTTTGAATTATATTGTACTTATATATTAAAAATATTTTCAAAAAAAATAACTCAAAAATTTTATTAATATATAAAATTTTCATCCTAAATTTTCTGATTTATAAAAAATCTATTATTATTTTAATCTGGATTATCTGGATTAAAAAATAAAACTATAACTAGTTACAATGATTTGCAAAAAATTACAGCTTCATATTTTAATTAAATTCCTTAATAAAGAAAAATTATTTAATGATATGAAAAGAATTATTTTTGAAAGTAAAAAAATCAATATTTTATTATTTTACAGGCCTAAAATCCTAAAATCGGTTAAAAATTTAAGATCAAGCCGATACTATATATAAATTTGTCTTGAGCTAGCAAAATGTTTGATCATTGGCAAAATCTGGTTCCATTCAAAGCACCTTTACCTTCCGTAAAAATTCTCTTTTCATCATTCAGAAACCCCTCAGAAAAGCTAATAATGTGTTCCAATTACACGTATTACATATAATGTTTTTGAATACAGTATATCTTCTATATTAAATATGGTTTTCGTATACTGCAGTTAATAATTTGCCAGCTACTTGGAATTCATCCCATCAAATCTATCTAAATTCACTAGTACTATAAACACCGACCAAGATCTTTTCAGTTCGCGTGATTTTTTTGTTATGAGTAGATGTTATTAGTTAAACGATTTACGCGAATTCGTATATTGATTACGGATCTTTTCTCATTTGAAAATAATACAATTGTATTAAATAACTTGTTAAGAAATCCTAGGCAAGCATATTTTTTTTTTGTTGAATCTCTAACATTAATGCTTAATAGGTAGGTAGCACCCCTCAGAATAATTAAACTCATGGATGCAACATTATATTGCAATAATAAAGTTATCACCAAATCAAAAAAATAAAAATTAAAAATTAAATACTAGGACCACTCTATTAATGATTATTGTTCTTCTTGCAACATTTTTGTCCAATCCCATGTCTTCCATTTTTTCATAAATTCTTGAATACGATCAGGATTATCTCTTGGATGTAACTTCTTGGGTTTTCTCCATAGGTTTGGAGGTAAATCGCATATTCCAGCAAGAATTTCTTTTCCAAACCAAAAAGGAAAAGATTTCTCTTTTTCTATCACGTGTCCGTATCCTTTATCTAATCCAAACCAAACATGAAAATATGGTAATTCTTTAACCATTGACCTTCTAAAAGTTGCTTTAGATGTATCAATTAATTTTCTGTTCTGAGACCATTCTCCACTACTTTCAAGAATTCCTTCCTAAATATATTTTTTTGCAAAGAAAATAAGTATAATCAATCATGATAATGGTCTATTGTAAGGACAGCGACATATGTGAGGTAATATTTTAGGGAGTTGGTGTTTGCCAAGAATCTAATGTCACATATCTTACCCTATAAGGAAATAATTGGTAAATTTGTCACTGCCCTAACTGATAAAATAATTCAAACCTTGAAATATGCGGGGGCATCCTGAGCCAAGTCCCAAGGCATTGGTACACATTCTATAACAGTGTGGTTATTCCATTTCATATTAATAACTGTTTCCATAAAGATAATACCACGACCTTCATCGGCAAACATTTGGATTAAACATTTCATAAAATTCTATATTTTTTTTTAAAGGAACAGTTTGAATTAACAATAATAATTAAAGGTTCAAAATACGTTTGAACGTACCCGAATTTCATCCCATACGTCATCATCACATTCTAAAGTTGAAGTAACGTGTTGAACAGGAACAATCAAACAATGGCCTTGAGTCATCTCTACTACATTTGGTAAGGCAAGGTATGCCCTATATCCTAGTGAAACCATGGCAACTTGAGGTTTCGAATTATCTTTTAAGCAATATATACAGTTATCCAAAACCTGCTTTGATTTTTGGAAATCTAATAACAAAAAAGTGATAAGTTCCCAATGAATAAATCATTTATGTGATAAGCTGTTATATAAAGTTTTATATTACCCCTAATAGCAAATTCTTTCTTTTGATCAGAAGTTCTTGTTTGAACCTTCGCTATACTATCTGCCTTTTCATCCATATATTCTAAATCATCCTAATTGTAAAATATAAAAATAATTGATAAATATTTTTTTCTTTTAAAAAAAAAAAATATCATAGATGATAAGCTCAATACCTGGAACATGGAATCTTTCATAATCCTTCCCGCGATTTGTGAATCCATTGTATCCCTATTTCCAAATTTTTCCTGACGTATTAAGTCTTTTAATGTAAGATCGTCATCATCCTTGAAATAACGAATCCGATCACCACTCGCATCATGTGTATCAATCTATCGTATTCATAAAAGGTCAGGATTACTAACTTTTACAAAATTTACTCAATTTCATTCTTACCTTTTCTTTCTTACGACGTGATGATCCAGCATGCTGTGGAGATTCGGATTTTTGTCCTTGAAGATCATAAAGTCTACCTTTGCTATCCAACATAGACAATACTTCGACACGTGACTAAAAACACATAAATTAATAAATTAAGATTTTCCAAATATATAATTTTAATTTTAAAGGATTTCACGAACATACATCAGAATCTTCAGGACCAGCCTCTGCTTTTTTCTTGGCTTCTTCATATTGCTTCTCTAAATCATCCGCATTTGGCATATTCATCAATCTGGCTCGAATAGACTTTGCCTGTAGTTTATTTAACTCGGAAACGGATAAAGTGGGTTTGGGAGATGATACCGATATGACAGATGGGATAGTTGGCATACTCGTACTCGAAATATGCCTCATATCATCATGATTAGGTGGAGAAGGAGATCGTGACCGCTTTTTTGAATAGTTGCCACTGGAAGTAGATGAATAATATAAACTATCTTGATCTTGTGGTCTTTTAAAAGTTTCTCTACTAAACGGATTTCTAAAATTGGTAAATACGGTCTGAGAACTTGATTCGACTTGAATACCTACTCTACCACTTCCAGAAGGTATATAATCACTCTCATCTTGAATTAGACCCTCACGATCTATTGTATTAGAAGAAAAATTAAGCATTCGGGCAAAGACATTAAAAAAAATCAAGTAAATGACATACCTGATTTTTTACTCTTTATAGTTAGATTAGAAAGGAAATTAAAAGTTCGTAAGAGAAATAAATATAAAAGGAGCATAGAAGGGGATTGACTATTTACCTGTAAAGTATCTTTTAAAAACTCTATATCTAACATACGTTTGCCTAATTTTTCGTGATCTGATCCAGAAGAACTACCTTCACCACCTTTGCTATGATCCTCATGACGAGATCGTTTCTTATGATGCTTCTTATGTTTCTTATGTTTACTTGACTTTTTCTTTTTGGAATCTTTGTCCTTTTTTGATTTCTTGGAAGGTTTGGAACTTGGATCGGTATCCATAGCTAGAAGTTGGTTGAGGTGGGGTACAGAAATTTTCTGTCAATAAATTTGTTACGTCACAACCGTTCACATAGTTGCCCCTAGAATAAAATTAACTAAATTAACTAAATTAATTAACTAAAATTAACTAATAATCTAAATTCGGACATAAGTTTTTGTTTTGGAATTCATTCTCAACCAAGATAATTAGGATAATTTATGATAAATTATTTGTTACATCATCCCTTTCTTTTACCTAAAATGGAAATCAGAATTCGCGTGTGAATCTTTTAATTTTTTTTAGGGGTAAATTTTATCACGAGGGTTAGATAAGAGAATTAATTATATATAAATACTATATGCTAAGATGTATTCATTTTTAAGAATTTTTTTTTTTTTTCGACGGGTTTAAATTTTTGGGAATGATAACGATTTTTTTTTTGCATGATTGCATAAAAACGAATGAGACGATCATTTATTTTTTGATTTATTTAATTTGAAAGAATTACTTTCACTTCAAATACGTGTTAGAGTTGATAGTAACATATATCTCATATTATTCGAATAAAGGAAAGGATTATCTCTGTATAAAAATTTTCATAATCAAAAATACGAGATTAATAATGGCATTCCCACAGATGAAAAAAAGGTTTTCATTGTTTAGTTCACCTCCTTTAGCACCACAAATTTTAAGTAATGCATCATCATTATTAACCACACCACAAGAAATACGTGAGGATAATAAACCTACATCTGATGAGATTCGTAAATCATTTGAAAATTTAGAAAAACTTGTTTTGACCGCGGATGAATATAGAGATTGTGTGAACAAATTAAGTAAAATTTCCAAAAATTTCAGTAAATGTTTAAAAGATTATGGTAATTGTAAAGGGATTGATAAATCTTATGGTACGTTTTCGATGGTTGGTCCATGTCTTAAAAAAAAAAAAAAAAGATTAATTCTAATCTTTTTTTTGAAATTAAAAAAAGTTCAATGCTTACAATTCATAGCGCAATTTTACGAGAATCACGCAGAAGTACAAGCCAAACTGGTGAGTCTCACGTTTATTATTCATTATATAGAAATAATACTTCTATCGTAAAAAGAATTATTAAGTTTGAATGCTTATATTTAACTAGTACAAAGCTTTGCAAAAAGAATTCGAAATTCTACAAAGATTCTGGGATAAATATTCAAAGAAAGTTGCAGTACGTAAAAATATTTTTTTATTTAGTATTGAAAATTTTTAAAAATTTATAACAAACGCTGATAAATGAAAATAAATTAATAATATTTTTAAGAAAGATGGAAAAGCTCATTATGAACATGTTGGAGATTTAGACAAGCAAATCAAGAAGATTAATAAAGATTATGAAAAGAAAAGTAAAAAAGAAAGTAAAGCGTCTCACGAAGTGCGTAATTGAATTTAATTGAATTTAATTTACTTTTCACACCTCAATTATTTATTTATCATTAAAACTTCCGTTTTATATATCCAACAGAAATATGTCGCTTCGTTGACATCCATAAGTACAGACGTTGCACGGTTACGAGCAGAATATGCAGAGGAAGAGATGAGACGAGAGAAGCATACTCATTCTGTGATATCGCAAATTATTTGCAGATTTACTGAAGGTCAATTCGCTTCATTTAATGATTCATTGAAGAAGTGTGAACCGAGTATTACCAAGGTGAAAGAATGGACGCCTTTTGCCGGACAAGACATACCTTTACCACTGGATCTTGATGGTTTTTTGGAAATGCAAACCATGACTTTACCTGAGAGTGATGATAATAATAATAATATTATTAATAATATTAATAAAATTAATAACGAACCAATTACTTCTAAAAAACTACCGCGAAGACCTTCGTATAGAATATCACAGTATTTAGCTTCAATATCAGAAATGCAAAAGGTTGCTATGAGACATAAAACTGCACCATCACCAACAGAAACTCCATCTATAGAATCTAATCCCGCTCCCATTATAAATGATATTAATGAATACGAGAACGAAACAATCACTCCCGCTCCCCCAATTGTTACCGCGGTTGCCAAATCATCTAATAGCGTCCCAAATTCAAAAAAAAAACTTTCGAACGATAGTCATTTAACTCCAAATTTACTTTCTAGTTTATCAATAGGTATTCACGATAATGACAATCCGTTCTTTAGGGATGGCAGTAATATGATTATAAAAACCGGAGAAAAGGATTCCACAAAACTCGAAGAGAATCATGCAAGTTCATTAAGCATAACTAAAAGTAACGATAAAATAGTATCATTAAAAAAAGATCAATTAAAGAATGAGAAAAATATTAATGGTTCGGATATCGATAATGAAAATGAGTTTAATAAACCCAATGATAAATACTATTCGAATGAATATCACGTTATGGACATTGAAAGAATAGCAAATGATAGTCCTGCACCAAGTTTTGAAACCGAAAGGCTTGTAAGATCATTTCCTATCGATTTGCCTGTGAGATCACAACCATCGACTCCAACAAATTCACCGAGTGAGAAATCAAGTGTATTTTATAATATGAAGACAGATCATTTATCAGGATATATTCGCGATCTGGACTCTATAATAAATAGTAATACGGATCATCAAGGAACGCACCCGTACCATGATGAGATTCATGTGACATCGCCGACAACACATTTAGCAAAATCGTATATAGATAGAACACCACAAAGACAATATAATATTCAACCTAGAAGAGCATTTACAGAATATTCTTCTTCTGATAACGATAACAAATGTGGTTCATCAGTTGCAGATATACGAGAGCGTTTATTATCATTGAATGACAATGAACGAAAATCGGTAAATTTTAATTTTAATACCCTTGTAAGTTAACAAATAAATTGAGTATTAAGAGTATATGAATTTTTGTAGACAACATCATCAACACGAGACTTTCCAAAGCCAAGACAAGGTTACGTAAATGAAGTAAAAACAAAATTTGTAGGCATGGGAGAGAGTAACAATAACGACACTCCACCATATTCTCTTATAACTTCAAATAACTATGGAGATGATGATGACATGGTAAGAGACATTTTATGAGAGAATGAGATTTTTATAATTTACTCTAATTTATATATATTTTCTTAGTATCCTGATCAAGTTGAGCATTTCGAAGATACGAATCCAGCATCCCTAAGTAAACCCATAATTAATGAACAATGTGATTGTCATAATTGTCGAGAATTAAGAAAAGCTACAATTGCGAATGACTTAACATATCATCCACAAGAGTCTTTTTTACATGAAGATGATTAACAAACTTTTGAATTATTATTATTATTATTAATTGTTGTATATTTATAATAAATATCTCAGATTTATTTATTTATTTTGTATATCGATATTGAATATATAGTATCTAATATTGTAATATGATATGCGTTTTTTAAAGAATCATCATAAAATATCAAGACTTTACATTTAATATTGGTGCAAAATTATCTTACGTTCTTTATCAATAGAATGTATATACTTTTTAGTAGGGTTCCCGAAATATATCGTATTAAAAATTCGCCAGAGGGAACGCAACAATTGCATAGTGACCTTATCATAAAACATTTAAGATAATTTACACTTTTTTAACAAAGTCGAGGAGTTTAGAAAGCCAGAAATGGTCGCTAATAATCGCTCTTTATCACTTAAAAAATGGGAAATTCGTATGATTAGTAAATTTATAAATCTTTGTCCTAGTATCACGTATCAATGATTTTTCTTAAAATATATAAGTAATTCACGAAATTTTCACAAAGGCCATCCTTTCTCTAGTTTATCAATAAATTCTTCAAATTGTTTTTTTTTTTAACTTATAATTCATACGATTTCAAATAGTACATTTCTTAATTCCCAAAAAAAGCCAATCAAGTATCAGCGTTCCACAAATCTAACGCCACCACTTCTTTTACATCCACCAATAGGATAAACTTTTATGGCCTAATATAGTAATAGTTGAAGTGTAATATGTACGTAATAGGTTTTGCTTTTGTTGTCCTTTCCTACATTTCTTCTTTCCTCCTTTCCTGTTCTCTCTCTCCCTCCACTCACCTTTCGCGAACAGTTCTTCGCAAGGACATTTTATTTTTGTGTTCTCTCCCTTAATATATATATATATTTATCCTCATGAATAAACCAGAAGTTGATTTGAAAAACAGCTGATAAAGGTCTACTGGTTCCGTATAAGGCTCCGGTTATGTTTCTTCTTTATAGTCAAAAAAAAACTTCGACAGACAGAAACTGGTCAAACTCCAGAAGAGATAACTGTACATAAACGCCCAAAATGACAGAACTGGAGAAACAAACCGCCAATATATGTTGGAGTTATGATGGGCAAAGGTGAGTAAATTATAAAAATATGATGGTGGAGCATGCAATTTCAGACACTCCTCGTAAACGTTTTGGTGAAGTGTTGCGATTTCATCTCATACAATTAAATGTTTTTGCAATTTACAACCTATATAAATAAATCAGTTTTTAAGTGAAGAATTTAAGACTCAAAAGTAGTATGTTTACAAAAAATTCATATAAATCAAATTCTTCAATCCGTCGGGAAATAGTTACTTTGTTTATTCTTCCTTCAGAGTATCAAAGTGACAAAATAATATCAACAGCATAGTATGTTAGTCTCTGAATTTTTTATTTCCTTCTTTTGAAGGATTTCGGGGACTTTTCTTCACTTCAAATTTCTCATTATTACAACAATATCTGAGCGTTTTCAATCTATGGATTTTTTTTTTTTATTTTTTCGGTCAATTGCTGCTATTTAAAATAACTTGTTAATTTTTTGTAAAGGAATGGATATGACCTTCTAATTCATTTCAAATATTTTCAATAAGATTGAGATTAGGAACCAAAAACTTAATATTATTTTGTGAAATCCACTGTAAAAGTTGTATTTCTTGATGAATCAAAAGGTTATTACGTTCAAAAATTCAATCCATTCGTTACTTTACTATATTCCCAAAAAAGCATGATCCGAACTTTCGTTTTTCCGAGGAGATTAACTTTCCTAAATACTTATAAAAGAAGTCTGTATTTTTCACAAAATATGTATCTCTTATATTCATTCCATCCAGATTTTCATAGGAAATAATGAAAACTGGATAGGAGCAAGCGTTATTTTTCACAAGAGAACTTATATTAACGTTCGGATTTTTGATTTATCTCGGCAATTAATAAATAAGAACAGAGGGGTGAGAAGAAACAAGAAGAAATTAGAAACTTACCTCTTGGAATTTCTGAAACTCGAGAAAATAATATAAATCAATTGCACAAGATTAGTAGTATACGACGATAAGAAGACGAGAAAAAGGAAAACATTATTAAAGAATGAAGTCAAACACATTGTTCCTGTGTGAGAATATACCAGGAGAAGATTTATCAGAAACCTCGAATATTCACCCCTTCTGTTAAATAAACAAAAGATAGTGAGTGTGAATTGACTTCATTCATTTTCATTGAAGCAAGTCATAAATTTTTTTTCCTAGGAAAAAGTCGAAGCGATTAATTAGAGTTGATTAGAGTTGTTAATGGACCGGTGCGATTTTTGTGATATTGATCGAAAAACCATGCGGAATGTGCGAAAATTTAAAAGATTTCAAAATTAATCACGTCTTAAATTTTTCGTAACGAATTTTCATTGACTTTATAAGGTTTTTCTGATATCATTAATTGAAAAGTAATAGAGCTTGTAATATAGAAAATAAGTTCCCGTGAAATATTTAATTCAGACCCAACAATTTGCCAAGTTAAAGTACTTTGTGCGTGTGATATAGTACATTTTCTACTAAGCATTCTTAAATCAAGAGGTTTATTACAATGTATAAAGTCATCTCATAGTCAAGATGATTCATAACTTCTATTATGCAGCGAGAAGAATAATTAAAAATAAGTAGTATTTCATAATTTCCGTTCATCTTAATTTTTATTAAATATATGATGATAATAAATTATTACTTCTCAGCACTTGACATGCAAGTATAATTTATTAAATAATATTTTATCAAAAGGATATGACATATATCTACTATTCTAAAGCGTAAAAATTGTATTTTTTATTTCTTTTTTATTCACCAAAAATTAAATAAGAAAAAGAAAACGGAACAATTTATAATTCATCTTTTAAATGAGAACTTGGTGTTGATGAAGAAAATCCATCAGAGTTTGTAACCTGAGAAGTTTTTTCGGTAGGAATTTGACTTTCGCTGCTCTTTTCGGTTATGCTAATGGATTCTGTTACGAAATTCTTTTGTAATTGTGAAATTCTTGAAGCAAAAGAAGTAACTTCGTTATCATAAGTTTCCCATTCTGGAACTTGACGTCTTGCACGATCAAGTTTTGGTTCTTTTGTCAATGGATTATTACACTAATTTTCGTTATTAAAAAATGTAAATGTATCAATATGAAGTTTTTTTTTTCCCAGTATTCAAATCAAAAAAAAATTTGTTTTCGAAACTTACCAAGTCTATGGTTCTTGCATTTACTAATGACTCATCGCTACACCATGTCTCACACCAAAGCCATTCAAGCGGTAATGAAAATATTGGCACATTATGTTGCATATTATTAGGTAAATCTTGATCTAAATTAGCTAACGAATTTGGGTCTAAACTTAGTGATTGATATTGTCCACGTAATTGATCTCCTGCTGCCATGCGACGGAATCGTTGTAAATCTATAACATAAAGTGCACTATTCATATAATAAATTTTAATTAGTTCACTTTAGGTTTTACAAGCACCTTTGCTTAACAATTTATTATACCTGATATGATATGGTTTTCCTCTTAAATGATCCTTCCAATATCCTTGTTTCCAAAATCGAAATCCATCCATTTCTGGCCTATTATCACAGAATGGTGTATACCCGTACGGTGCTCCTTCAAGATCCATGTCAACTAATTCTTTTAAATCCGCTCGTACAATTTGATCTGCGTCAACAAAAATAACTTTATCCAAATCAAGAGGGAAGAGTACATCTAGGAATAAAATCTTGTACCTAAAGATAATTCATAAAATGTTATTCTCTATTTTTCCACCAAAAATAAAGGGGGGCATTCGATAAAAGCTACTTAACCCCCAAATAGTCCTCTGTTTTTCCTTTTGAGCTCTTAACCAATGCGGCCACTTGTATGTAACTAGTTCATATTCAAAATCATATTCTTTGGCCATATGTGGAATAAAATTCTATATAAATAAACATGATAAATGGTTAACCAAGGCTTTTTTTATGGTTACACGGGTACCGTTATTTCACACTTACCTTGAAGGACGGTGATAAAAAGTTTTCGATAAACCAAAATTTAACGCGACTTTTTGTATGTCCCAAAACGCTTAGGATCATAATAGACAAGAATCTCTCATAAAGATGCCCAGATGCTACGGAAAATATATTAATTTCTGCTTTGTTCTGCCTAGAATCACCTTTATTAATTGAAAACCTATTGAAATAAATAAATATAAAAATCGAATTAACGTCCCCGATGAAAATCTTGTATAAATCTAGCATAATTCTTACTTACTTGTTTTTAATATAATTCCAAATTCCATCTTTTTCTTCAACTTTTAATACATCTTCATTCTCTTTACCGGGCTTTCTAGTAAATCTTGGATAAATAACTAACCCTTCAAAATTATTTAACACAATCTCATTTCCGATTTCTTCAACACTACGACTATACCATCCTTCACTTCCACTACTTTGTATATCAAATATTTCTGTAGATTTCCCTTCTCTCAAGCCAAATATCCATACACCAGGATTTGCTTTTAACTGTAGATATCCATAATTTGCCATTACAATAGTATCTACCATTGCAGGAGAATTCTTGGTACCAAGTACTATTTGTAACCCACTTGGTGGTGCATTTAATGTAATATCGCGAGCGTGACCTTCAATAAGAATATTCTTCAATTCAAATACCGATTCGACTCCTTTAATCCTTGAACGAGAATCTAGATTCGCCAAACGGATATTATCCAAATCATAAATAGAAACTTTGGGTGTTACTAGCCATGCTTGAATTACATCGATTCCGAGCGTTAACAAAGGATCCTCGGGTAAATTTGAAAAATATGCGGACGGAGGAATCAGATTACTGAAAGGGGAAAATAATGTTAATCAAAGAAAAGAAAAAGGAATCCTGAAAGAAAAATGAAATTATTACCCAGTCGTAGAATTAAATTTCAATCTCGGTTCTAATACATAACGGTAAAATCTCTTTATCGGAATTTCATTTAGGTTCAACTTAGGATTGAAATATAACTCGATAGCAACTCCGTCAATTTGTGATAAAATCTAATAATTTATAACTCCTGATAAATAAATAATAAACTGGTTGTCATTTACTCATATTACTCACCTTTAAGATTGTGGACCACTTTTGCGCTGTTTCACTTATTGGATCAATTAAAACACTAATCTTGTATAATGCTGCCTCCATATCTCCAATGACAACTTTGCTATAATATAACAAATATAATAAGTTGCATGTACATAATATAATTTGATAAGGGTTTAATATGAGTATTTCAAACCTGTGTTCAGACTTTAATTCCTTAAAAGAAAGGTCTCGTTTTAATTCTTGTTCCTCGAAAAGTCCAACGGGAACATCCGATGTCGTAGCTTCAGACATGATAGAAGACACTTTCGCTATAAAATCCGAATAATTTGAACTAAAATAAAGTCGAGAAATTTAATTATAAATTCTCTCAAATTCCAAAATGATTCAGCCAAAAATTACCCATTCAAATGCGCTGTTAAATTGGACGCTTTTACGGCATCCACTACAGGATCGATACGTTCTGCGTTTTCCACATCAAGCAATAATTTTAAATCATCCGAGATGAACAAATTTTCTTTAGTAAAAGGACCCACAAACTATCAATAGTTTTTTTTTTTTTTTTTAAAAAAAAAATATATATATATATATAAGATTCGAATATAATTTATATAATTTAAAAAAGACAAATAATCTATTTACGTACACGGCCATTAACTATAATAGCGGTATCAGTTTCACCCAATTTCAACGTTTTTCGTGTAAACGAGTTCCATCCTCTCCAATAAGTTTGTGCTCGTACTTTATCAACTAATTGCCATCCAAAGGATCTAGCGGAATTGATCTTTTCAGAATCTGAAATTGGTATTTGTTTTGACTCTTCTAGTTGTTCATTAAATGGCAATTTGACTTTATCTTCTATGCTAAGATATTCTTCTATAGCCTCTTTTAAGAATTTTGATAAGTCTGATGGTGTATCTTCGGCATTTACTTTGGAGTCATGCAATATATGATAAAAAAGAGATGATAAACTTAAATCTTCACGCGCACTAGTTTGAGTTGAAGGATTATGAATGAATGCTATGCGGACATTTGGTGATTCATTCTAAATAAATACTATTAAATTAAAACATTTGTTGAATAAAGTGTGAATAAAAATCATTTAATATATTTTACCAAAAATTTCAAAGCTTCCAATCCTTGCTTAGCTCCATATTCACTATCAAGGTCAGTTATAAGTATTAATGAAATAGGTACTTCATTATCACCTCGTTCCTCTAGGAAAAAATTTTTTTTATTTTTTTTTATTTATTGTATGATTTATAAATAATGTAAAAGAATCTCACATACATACCAGGATGAACATAAACTAAACTATTTAACTTTTCACTGTTTCCATTTTTTTCATTTGCTAAATTAATAACCTTCAGGGGCTGTAAATCTGTTACGAACACATAAGGATTTCTTCTGGATGGAACATTCGGTAAAGTCATAAAATACTCGAATATATTTGTGTGATCCGCAATTTCGCCACCATACAGCTATTATAAAAAAATTACATCATGATACATCGTACATCATTATCACTTGGGTTGCTTAATCGCAAGTACACTTACTTTTTGCTGAAGGAATGAGGTGTGTTCATTAATAGTTTGAACCATATTCCTCTGATAATTCTATAAACAAAGTGAAATTTATTATTTTAACGATCATGAAATCTTTCTCTTTTACCTTGCAAAATTCTCTTTTTTAATTGACCGCTCATTGCGAAGTTTTATTCCGCTATCGGATCCTCTAAAATATGTTACTTACATCATCCATATCAAAATATTTTCCATTAATAAACATAACACCTCTTCCATTAGTGTCTATTCTGAATCTACTAATAAATTCGGTCGCACCAAGAATTTGCTCTTCAAGTGAGGATTCAGCATCAGGTTTAATGATGTCATCGAAGGATTTAATAGAAGTTTTATCTTTTGGCTTTTCACCACCTATAACAATGTTAAATTGTTTTTTTGCACTTTCAAATATAGAAGGTGAACTCGTCGATTCTTCAGAAACCTATACCGCACACAAAAATATGATTAGAGAGAGTAGATTGATATTTAAATGATTTCATTATGATCAATTTATTTTTTAAAAAACAAACCTCAGAGAAAAATTTCATGGTCAAAGACTTTGTATACTGACCAATAAGATAATAAAAAATCTTTGCCATCGTTACGGCTTTAAAATATTTAAAAAAAAAAATTGTGAGGATTTATTTTTCCCCCTTAATAAAAATTCAACACGAAATGTGCATTCTTAATTATCAATCACATACATTCATTGTTTTCTTTATTCACAAGTGGAATGATACCAAACCGTATTGGAATATCCCTTTCAACGAACGATTTTATTTGTTCAGTGAAGACCTTGAGATTCTTTATGGACGATAGATCAATAACAAATAATACATTGAATAAGTTTTTACGTATATATCTCATCTGTCCGGGATAGACCGGTCGAAATATCTAAAAATAAGTGTTGATGTTGAAGTAAGTAAAGATTGAATAATCAAAAAAATAAAGGGAGAATGAAAGTTTGTTAACATACATCATAAATCCTAGATGGCCAATGAGAATATCTTTTATCTTTTTCTAAATCGTTTAACCAAACTATAATATTTTTCTTTTCCGATTTATCCCGAACATCAAAAATTCCTTGAGTTAGCTCTTGAGAAGATCTTGATTCCGAGATTACAGGTGATGCAAGCAATTCAACAGCTTGTTGTGAGTTCATGCCAAGACTTATTAGCGATAAAATATTTTGTCTCTCGCGTCGAAGCAATTTTAATAGACTTTTGAATATTATGTAAAAGTTAGATATGAAAGATTAATAAATTTTAAATGCTAAATTATAATTCCTACCCGAATGGATCAACTGAATCGGGAACAAGTTTCAATCCGTTGAGCCAAAAAGTATTGGTATTTAAACTCAGAGAATTTTTATTTATTGTGATCTCATCTTTAAGTGATAAATTAAGACTAAGTTGAGCGATATGATAAGAATACTTTGGTAAATCTTGTGATAAATGCGCAAGAGCTGACAATGGGTCTGATGAAGAAATAATGAATTGAGCAGCCTTCAAACCAAGTTCTATAAATAGGAACAAGTAAATTACGTGAGCACGATTATGATGATGATGGATTATTTTTTTTTTTAAAAAAAAAAAAATTGAATGAATGGAATTTCACTAAATACCCCTGATTTCGTTAGTTATAAGTGGCTTAATTTCGGATATATCCTCATTAAACAAATGTTCACTCAACATTTCAAGGCGTGAATCATTATTAGATTCGGGGTTTGATTCGGTTTCACTTTCTCCTTCGTCATGATCATCTATTACAATATTCCAAGTTGTTTGTTAATTTGTATTTTAAACTTACTTTGCATATCTTATCGACCATCTTACCAGTTCCAACTTTACGGTCATCAATTGAAATGTAATCGGTATTTTTTAATGCCAACTCCACACCGTATCCAGTAAGATATAAATTATCTCGCTTTCCTTTGGGAGGTTTATATCGTAAAATATATTTTGCTTCATCATTACTGACCAACTCGGATACAAATTGATGAAAAGATGCAAAATTAGGCGAAAACACATCAGCGTATAAGATGATTGATGGTGATATGGTTTCTTCATTAGAGAGTAAAACATGATCAAACGGCAAAAGTTTTGGATGCTGATCGGAGCTACAAAAAAAGTTGGACAAACATCAATTAAAAAGTACGACATATCTTGATTATCACGAAAAAATTTGTTACCTAATATTTTGAGGTATATCGTATTTTCCGGACTTCAACTTCTTGAAATCTTCAATGTTACAAGCTTGATGACCATACCAATCAACCCAAACGTCACATTCGGGATCAAAATTATTATTGAATTCCTGCCTGCTTGGCAATACATTTGCGTCGTAATAATGGTAATACGCTTGAATGGCAGGAGCTGTTGTGTGAAGTGAAAGAGCGAATTCAAGAAGTGATATGGACGTTGACGCTGATAAATATTTTTTTGATTCGATAACGCCGAATGCTGTTTTGTATACTTCTTGATAAGTCAATTTGGGAGAAAATAATCCTTGACTAATAAAATCATTTATAAGCGGATAATACGCCGTAGAGTTCTCTGCCGAAACTGACTCTCTTTGAAATTAAAAATATAAAAAATGATAAGTTAAAAAAAAAAAAAAAATTCGTTTAAATGATTGCAAGACTGATACGGGATTTAAATTCATACATAATTTCAAGTAATAAATGAGGAGCGTCCCAAGAAGTTTTTAACCATGTTTGAACAGGAGGCGTTTCTGCTTTTGAAACTGTAAATGCTATACTAAATAAATATAATAACACCAGTAAGAAGGTGTTATTGCTTATGATTTTTTTAAATATCATAATACCATTTAAAAAAATATTACTGAAGCGGAAAACGAAATTTTTTGATTTCAAAAAAAAAAAAATATGTATCAGCAAACCAGTTTGTTACACTAATCGGAAAAATTAATTTTTTTCTCGATGAAAAAAAAATTGCTTACCGATTTTACCGATTCTATAAAAACTATATGATTTTATTCGAATTAGATCGTTGAAGATAAATAATTTAACAAGAGGCTCGAAAAAATAACAACTTTAGAAAGTTTTATAAAATCCAATCAATGATAATACAGTAACAACGTTATTCCAAATGATTTTAACCAAAGAATGCCTTAATTTGGCTTACAATAAAATAATATCGCATCGTTATTCAATTTAATGATCATAATTCACATAAAAAAGTTATTATATTTATATATCTATGAAACAAAAATTCCTAATATTTACAGAAAATTTATATTATAAAAATTAAATACACTTTAAAAAAAAAAAATAAAAAGTACTTCTAAGAGGAGAAAAACTCAAAATTAATTAATTTATTGGATTATTTTTTTTTTACGTTCTTTATTGTTGATGGCCTCCAATGACATCTTAACTCGAATGCGTTCTAGACTTCGTTCTTGACTTCGAAGTTTGCTATTCCAATAGTTTTTAACTTGCAATTCTGTTCTTCGAGATGTCTTGTCTATTGATATTTCTTCAGCTATTTTTGACCATTTTTTATAATAAGACTGATCATTGCTGAGGAGAGATTCAATTTTTGCTTTTTCTTCATCGGTTAACTCTTTACTTTTATTGACTGCAAGAGAAAGAGAATAAAGACGAAAGATTATGTGTACTGATCTTAGGTGGATGCAAACGTGAAATGCTCAAGTGAAATAAATATATACGAACTGGTTGGGTCCAAATGATTAACATATCTAGAAAATAACGAAGTAAATAAATACACCTTTTTTTTTTTTGATTGATAAATAAATAAAACTCACCGCTCGCGAACACTTTTATGATTACGTTTTAATATCCCTCCAATTATTTTCCATCTATTTGTTTTATCTGCGAACTCTTGATATAATTCTATAAGTTGATGATCTTCCTATAAATTTTGATGTAAATAATGTTGTTGATAAAAATCAACGCAGAAATTGAACTATGCATACAATATATTACCTCTGCCGAATATAAACCTCCTCTCTGTGGTTCGGTCTTTGGCATTCTAATAATTCGGTAGAAAATGGTAATAAAATGGTTGTTTGTATTTAATTAAATGAATGGATTTTTTTTTTTTTTTTTTGCAATAATGGTAAATTAGATATTAATAAAAGAAAGTGAATATAATTGATTTTTTAATCCATCATTAAAAAAAAAAAAATAATTTCGTTATACAAACGCATTACGATCTTTATATAGATGATACACTTCTTTTGTGAATGTTATCTTAAAAGGATAGGCTCAAAGTACAAGATCTTTCATGTTATGTAGTCCTACATAATGAAATTGTCATTTAACCATTAACACATTTAAAATTACCAAAAAAATTATGATATCATTTGACTTTACATGTGCATGATGTGAAATGAAAAATTTTTTTTATCTGTGATCAAAACGTGTGTATGTAATATATATATTTTATTTTTTCCTTTTAAAAATACTATAAATTGATATGCGGATGTTATTAATAAATAAAATTCCGGAATCAACTTTTTTTTTCCCTAAATCTCGCGTATATGTGTCAACCTGACCAATTTTTTTCTCAGGAAAAAAAAGTTTTAATGGTTTATATTTTTTAAATATTACATCATTTATTCCTAAATAATTGCCTTTGAGACAGGTCAAATATTTGGTTGTACACCTTTACGAAATACGAGAAAAGAACATTATAATGTTATTCTCAAAAACGTTCCCTTTGTCCAAAATTTGAATTTAAAAAAAAAAACCCGATTCAGAAAAGATATTTATTTGTGTGCATACACAAACAATCACCTTAAAAGAAGAATATAATTTTACGCTATCGAAAATATATATGGTTCAGATGATTTACATCTTTTTGTTTGATAACAAAGAATAAATTATTGTTTTATACTCGAAGAGATGGCGAAGAAATCTGAAACATTGCGTTGATGATCGATTGTAAAACGGTTCAATCAGTTAACGAAGCCTTGGGATAACTCACAATCGAATTAAACGACAAATTATTAACCATATTAGAAAGAGACGCGTAATTTTCATTTCTTTGGTGATCTTATTGATAAATATAAGGTAGTACATATCTTCGTCTCGATACCAATAACACGAACTTTTGATTAGATGAGGAAATTTGAAATCTTTTATCATTTAAATTCCTCGATGTATAAAGATCCCTTATCCCTTATCTTCTATGAACATTATTTAATTGTTGTAACAATTAATGAGAAAGATGATTCGAAACTTCAACTTTTTGATTAAACAGCATGATACATCCTTAATTAAATAATAAATCTACTCTTATCTTTTGCCAAGAATGGTTCTATTCAAAGGTATAAGAGAGATTATGAGATAGCTTGATCGATAATAGTTTCTGATATAAGAATAGTTCTAATTGATTTCAAAAGATTTTAACTGATGTGTTTTATTTATACATTTTTATTGTCAAAAAAAAAAAAAAAAAAACAAAAAAAGCAATATAGGCGTACTTTAAATAACACGGAATTTCTTTGTCAGAAACTATAATCGTATTTGACATGTGGCGTTTGCAGGAATCAACGCCATTTACGAAAAAAAAAAATTAGATAAAAACGCCCGACATTTCGGGAGTAGGGTATGGGTAAGTAATATCGGAATTCGCCTTTATCCTTCCGATTTGATTATCGTTAAAAAAAAAAAAAAAAGCGAGATTTCAATACTGGGTGGCACTTCTCGTTGTCCTTGTGATTTTGATTATCATCGAAAATTGGACAAATTAAAAAAAAAAAAAGTCTACATGTGATCTTGAGCATACAAAAAAGAAAATAAAATCGGTGTCTTCTCCGAAAAGTTAATTTCCTAAATTAAGCAGAACCATAGATAGATCTAATTCTATTTATAAATATAAATAATTTCAATCGAACCTAATTCTAAATATAAAAAACCAAAGTCATTATAAAAAAAAATCTAATTAATACTTTTTTGATAAAGATTATTTATCGAATAGAAAAGAAAACGTTTATATTTATGATTTATAAAATAAAGTTAAAGTGTGACAAAATCTTAATTTGAAAACGCGTTTAAAGAAACAATTTGCAAATGCTTATGTAATTGCATAAGAGTTAAAATTTAACTGTACGTGACTACAACATTCAAAGGTCAACCAAAGTTCGAAGAAGAGAAAAAGTTCGGAACTTTAAAAAATGATTCTTTAGACAAAAAGTATATATAAAAAAAAGTAAATGATTAATCGGGGTTTCCCTCAATTTTTTTGTTACAATTTCCGATCAACAAAGATCTAAAATGAACAATGCTAACCAAATTCTGCGTAACAAAATTTTCAGCCTTATCATTAAAAAGAGGAATTACTTTTCTTACAAAAGTAAATAATATATAATTTGATGTTGAAATTATTGAATAGGGGGATTGTGATTATTTATGATTATGTTATTAAGGCAAAACAAATGTACTATAACCTATGTGTAACGATCTTTCAAAAAATTACATTTAGAGTTTCTTAACAATATGACTAAATTTAGTTAAGATATTCGATTAAAATTTATTCGGTGTTGTTAATCGAAAGTGTGATTATTTTATCATGAATTTCTTGAATCAATGCATCATAATTATCTAGAGGATTTTTCTTTTCACAAAGTTCACCTAGTAATCCTTCTTGATGGATTTTCAATTTTGATGTTACAACTTTTTGAACATCGATTGGTCCCGGAAATGATTTTTCATCTTTATCTGGTAAAATGCGAGGTTAAAGCTTTATTATAATCTTTGAAATTATAAAAATTCAAAATATAAATTACCTTGTAACTCATCGTACGGTCTTACCAAATTATTATAGTCTTCATTTTTTTCGAAAATGAAGAAATCGTCTAGAGTTAATTTCCGAATTTTTTTTTTTTTTGTTCAACAATAATAAATAAATAATACCCTTTTTTTAAAAAAAATGAAAAATTATAAAATAATAATGTACCATGTGTTTGATTACTATCTCTATGTCGCTTTATATTCATATCGCGTGACGAGAGTTTGTATACATATTTAAGAATTACATAAAGAATAGTTGGAAAGTAAATTGAAAAAAACGCGACGAGAAATTGTAATGATTCGGTAGATAATATTACAAAAGTTGGTAGAATTACAAATAAAATAACCGTTAAGACAAAGGGTTCGATATTCATGTTGTTACTTTATTTTAAATGGTTTGATGTTATTATGAAGATATTTGATTTTTGAGAAAGAAATTCAAAATATGTAAACACGGATCAAATATCCTAGATAAGTAAATGCTAAATGCTAAATGAATTTTTTCATGTTTGTGTAACACATGATTTGATTATCGCAAGTTTACGCGAAGTAAATTAGAACCCCGAAATAAATTCGGTTTTCGGGGACTAAAATTGTTTTTTTTCTTGATATTGGTATAACCAAGTATCTAATTTTGATAAAATTATTTCGAGCTATATTCGTTGAATAATAAATTGTTCTAATTTTGTGACTTTTTCAAAAGATCAAATTCTAAAGTTCTGCATAAATTCGAAGAATTTTTTTTAAATCTACTATAATGAAATACACAAACTCAGTCTTTTACCTATTCTGGATCCTAGGC